AGTAGAGCAGTGCTCGGAAAAGGAGGGGTAGAATGATTTATGAAGTCTAAATTGAGGTTAAAGGAGGCAGGATGGAGAGAATCAGGAAGGCGAGGAAGTGACCATAGAAGGAGAAACGCAGGTAGGGGTAGGCAGGCAGGGAGGGGTGATGAGAGAGAGTTAGGAAGGAATACAGGGAGGCCGGGAAGGCTTGAGAGATGTAGGCATGCAAAGAGGAAACTAACGAGAGCGTTAGGGAGAGAGAAAGGACATATCGAGCTAAATCAGAAGTCAGGGGGTTGTCGTAGAGAGCGAGGTAGAGAGGGATGGAGTGTCAGCAAGGCACGGAGAGAGGAGCAAGGGAGGGAGGAAAGAGTTAGTGAGGGAGAACAGACACAGAGGCACGGAGAGAGGGAGGCAGGGATTCGTCGGGAAGGAAGCGAGGAAGGCACTCAGACGTGCCGTCTGCCACTTTCATCCAAACAGGGGCACCCCTCCCCACCACCCCTGCAGCTCTCTCTCTCTCTCTCTCCCTCCCTTCCCGGGTCCCCAGCTAGCCCCAACGACCCCTATGGCCCCCATCCATTACCATTATTATGCCCGCAAGTTACATAACAGACGGTCTTGCCGCACGACAGTTAAATATCACAGCCGCAAACACGCACCGCGTGCTCAAGACCTCTTAAGCCACAAAGACAAAGATTCCCCCGTGTAGCCTTAACAGACTATTGGAGTAAGTCACCGTACACGCATACAAACAACTCGAAGAGTCATCGAGATCAAAAGTATGTCCCTGCTCAAACTAGCATACGGGAGGTGCAAAAGAAATCCACTGGCGGTCCTAAACCTCTGTCGACAGTCCACATTGCTTTTAAAAAGTCCAGGATAAACATAGGAAAACCACTTAGGAACGTACTGTATAGCAAATCGCACACACAATTAGGATTAATTTCGCGATGTGTGTACCCCCCCCCCCCCCCCCCACCACGGAGCCGCACAATATCGTAATTTTGATGAAACACTACTCACGGTTATTTCCAACGCGTTTTCACCTCGACCAAAAACGTCACTTCCCGGGATATAAAACAAAAACAAGAGGTGGGTGCGTGACGGGGTGGACTTGGAAAATTTACGAAGCACGTTCAGTTGTTTATACAACGCTAATAATACAACCACAACCGCTAATAATAATTATACCACAAACCCCGGCGTGTCCTCTTAAAGCCCCGCTCCTGGCCTCTCGCCCGGTCATCAAAACCCTGGCTGATTTTCAGCCCCGAGATGCTGGGCTTGCTGGCGAAAAACAAACGTACTTCTTCTTTCTCTCGCGCTCGCTGGCCTAGCACCTATTATAGTCCTTCTTTGTGAGTTTTGTGTAATTTTGGCCAGCCGTGATGTAAGCTTTTATGGGTCGGGTGGGTGGGTGGGTGACGGGTGGAGAGGACTGGCGTCATTCCTAGTATCTTCTTCCAACCACGAATGGCTGGAATGATGCAGTCTGCCTTCTTTGCCAGGTGCGCTGTGTTTTTTTCAGGCCGAGGTGACCTACGAGAGGAAGGCGAGCGGTGCAAAACATGGCACACGGGTGTTTGGATGTGCAGGGACGGGACCCCAGGTACCCTACAAGAGCAAACATCAACATCATATTGTTACTATTTCAAGTCACTGCGATGTCACACACCCACCCATCCACCCATGGATTCGGTTCTCAAAATATTTCAACAGAAACAAGAACACTATTAAATTTCGATTTAAAGCTTTCGTGACTGCAGGGATTCATCTTTTTGGTTCTTTCGGTAAAGTCACGTAGAAGGGAAATAATAAAATAAAACATAATAAAATTATTCTCACGTTTCGGCCACAACGCTGCTTGCGTTGTGGCCGAAACGTCGTGAGAATTATTTAATGTTTTAGTTTTATTATATTATTATTTCCCTTCTACGTGACTTTACCGAAAGAACCAAGAAGAACACTATAATAATAATGAGTTATATCTTTTTTTTTACTTTTACCCCAAGGATAGCTTGAGTATTAAAGACTCATTTTCCAGAGGGATGTATTCGGATGTATGGCCAATTCCTCTTGAAAGAATGTTTTGCGTGTGGGCGGAACCGTAAAGCTCCAATGCGTACGAGGGAATAACATTCAAAAGGTCGGCAGAGATGTGATTAACAAACCAACTTGCTGTACTGCTACGTCCTGGCCACCATGTAGGCCAGTTAGTTTCGAGAGTTTTTCAATGTTATATGCGATCTAACCAGTAGTGTACACATTTCAAGGGAGGGTGGGTAATTGTTTTGCAACCAGCTTACTGAAATTTAAATCTAGAAATATAAATAACTTATTTACAACTTTGCATTCAAGAAACATCTCAAAAATGGTCTATGACATAATGGTCAACCCTGGTTTCAAACATTCTGAATCAGGCAGAGGCATATTCCACATTTTTTGTACAAAAATTCACCATCCAAAATTAGGGTGTTGTGCGATTCAAACTGTACATAGCAATCACCTTGGGATTGAATTCCTAACAAAATTATTTCAGGAAAACAAAAAACGAGCCTGGCAAGTCATTGTGAAATACCGTAAGAACTGGCTCAATAGCGGAGTCTGAAGCTCAGTCTCGTTAGCCTCAATCCATATTCCCTGCTGGTCCTCTGCCCGTGTTGGAAATTCCACATTCCCTTGAGAGAAACCAATCCATCCACAGGATAACTGCTGTCGACTACCACAAACGGGGTACTCGTGTTACCGACTGGAAGGACAATAGGATTTGAACTTTCGACCTTCCAATTGTGACTCAATGGCACCTGATGATAGAGGCCATGTGTGAGTGTACGTTCCATGTGAGACAAAGATCCCTCGTGGAGTATTTAATAGACTGGTTGGGCAGGACTGTCAGGGAGCCCCTATTAAGGTCTGCATGTCGCACAAAGGGGTGGTGGTGTTGCCAGGAACTCGCAAAGCTGCCTTTGTCTCCCCAGTGCTGCAATGTTTACACACCACGCCTGGTACTCATTTAAGGCTGAGTCGATCTGGAGGAAGTGATAACTTTAGAGCACTTGCCCGAGCAATCTACATGAGGGATCTTTTTTTTTGTTCCACTTCATGTAGCCAAAACCAATTAAAAATGTAATATTCGCAATGTGTGTACACACCTATCAATGTAACGAGGATTAAAATTAATATGGACACCTCCAATAAGCACGGTTGGCTATATACGATGCGAAATTTCAACATACATACAGAAAACATTCCTTATTTGAGTCAACATTTTACTTCACACGAGACGTGTTTACCAATCATCAGACGCGTGCAGTGCGTAACATCTGAACAGAGAAGACAAACACAGAAAGGCACACTATGGTAGGAAACGCCAAGACTGGAGTTTGAGTAAACGTTTCGTTACAAGCTGGAGAAGAAAAAAACATCCCTCCACTTGTTAAGACTCAGAATCCCACACCAGCCGCTTATTTTAGCAGTGAGTCATCTTCATTCTAATGCCTCTGGCTACAGGCCACTCAGACACACCGTAATGTAGCTAGCAGACCCGAATAGCAAGCACCACCCACTGCTAGATGCAGACAGATTTCTCAGTCAAATGCGATGTTTGCAAACACCCGTCGAAAACAATGCACTCTGGGGCGTAGTACAAAGCCTGTTGTTTATCACCCAATATTATCGTTGCTACTCCTTGTTTTAAACATTAAATGCTTTGCACGCAAGGGCCGCACAATGGAGTGCGTCATTCATGTTTGGATGCAGGGCGTCTAAAAATACGCGACTTAAGGATGCTTCTTTCAACTTGAACCGGCGGCCGAATCAATTAATGAAGCCGGGCGCTTGTAAATACACGCAGCACACTTTTTTTTACCGCTGCGGGCTCAATAGCGGGAGTGGGTAACGCGATCCAAATTGAGTGAGTCGTGTGTATACCTCAATCAATTGGGAGAGAGGGGGGGGGGGATCACACAAAAAACGCCGAAACGAAAACACAACCATCAACCCTCGCTTTTCTGTCGAACAACACCTCAAAGCAGTCTTACCACCAGCTACCCACTGAGTTGGGAGCAAACTTATCCCATCTATATTTGGGTGGGTGGGGGGTGCATATTTTTCCTCACAACACTAAACACTGCTCCTAAGAAATTCACGTTTTGGAAGAAGCCGACGTACGAGGCCGTGGGACTTTGTAATGTAGAAGGCACTTTACAGAGGATACGACAACCACTCCTTATACACCGAGACGTGTTGATTGTTGCTCATTGGGATGGCCGATTGGAGCTGGCGTGTTTTAATTGGAGAGGTAATACACAGTAAGTCTCCAGTGTTAAGCCTCAAAACACGGTCTTGTCAAACTGGTCATTGTTCACCACCGCATTTACCAAACACAAATCCATTCACCACATGCTGGCTGCACACACCTGATAAGTAAACACGTCCTCTGTGAAAGGGAGAGCATTCCTTTAAATGAAGCCATATGCAATATGTGCGCAAGGTCTTCATCTTACTTCAAACCGACGTTCTCTGCATCTCGTGAGATGCATTTTCCAATAATCAGGTGTGTGCAGCGTGTTAACAACGCACTCCCAATAAACACATAGGGCTTATCTTGCAGAAACTACCTAGGCTGTGTCATGGTCCTATGTGACACAAGTTCCAAGTTTCATGAGAAAAAAAAAACACTTTAAAGTTAGTCAAGCATGCCACCACAGCTTGCTCTAGTGACATTACTGCACCGACGTTTAAAATGCGCGGGAGTGACGTGAAAGTACATTTATAAACGCGCAACTTTTATAACCTAGGTTGTGACGCGTGCGTAGTATTCGTACATTTAAAGCAGGTACCTGGAACCAATTTAGCGATCACTCGCTACTGATATTAGCCGTGGCCTGGAATTCAACTTAGCGTGAGGGTTCAGAACGTAGCACGCTAACCACTGCACCACTAATCCACCTCTTGCTTTGCTTACAATTTCACGTGCTTTTTCGAATATAATATATATATATAACCGTACCAGGTATTATCACGCGCTTTTATACAAAAATATAGCAGAAGCTCTTACACCCGCACAATCACAGCAGCAGCAATCAATTCACCAGGCGCCACGTGAAGCGTAGCCACGAGGAATTTAACAAGTCCGATTAAAATGGATTATTTTGCTCTCAATACATGCATTGAATAGTGCGCTTGAGAATCAATCATTCTGTGATTCGTGCAGATTACATGCAAATGTTGTCCGTCTCTGCTGAAGAAGCAAACGAGAGTTCAAGCGAGAGAGAGTCAACGCTAACGAGATGGTAATGAGACGAAAAAAAATAATCTATTGAATAAATTCATGACCCCGAATTATGACAAACTGTAAAATCTGTTGGGGTGGTGACCAGATCAATAAAATGCCCCCAGGGCCACATTACATGCATTACCGCCAGTACCATAGGTTTTGTGTTTAGTTTGCTGTCCTTCCCCCGCACCTCCAATCAGCACGGTTGACTACGTGCGGTGCGAAAGAAGTTCAACATACATACGCACTTGGAAGCATCAAGTTTAACCCATTCAAGGTGCGGCACCGATTTGTAAAACAGCAACCCGGCATTCATTCCAGGGTTTCCTGCGAGATAGCCGGCTAGCTCAGGGGGTCAGAGCACTGAGCTGGCGCTGCTGAGAACCTGGGTTCAGTTCCAAGTTTTTAACCACCACCCCTACTTAAAATTAATTTTTCAAGTGTAGAAAGTTGAGGGACACAGCCCAATCGCACTCGTGACTGAGCACACAACATCGTATCAAATCTTGTTTTTCACCTACATTTGGCAACATTTCAGCTCTGAGAATCAAAAATGTTTTTAACATGATTTACACGTGATGAGCGTTCTGTGCAGGGCTTGCGTGTGTTTACGAGTATTTGGCTGCTGTACATTTCCACGTGATAAGCCACTTCATTGAGTCATCATTTGTGGTCAGGTCGCTTCTGAGAAAAAAAATAGCTCAGTGGGCCTTACCTGGTTAAAGAAAAAATAGTTTTAAAAAATTGTAAAAAAAAATAGTAAAAAAAATTTGTAAAAAAAAATTGTAAAAGGTGTGCTCCTAGTGTGGATATACAGTAGTTCTGATATCATCTTCCAGGGCTGTTCTCCCGACACCCTGCATACACACAGGACTCCCAGCATCAACACTAGGGCACCCTGCATTAACATAAAGCTATCTACATGAACACTAGAAAACTCCTCATTTTCACAAGGACACCCTGTGTTAACACTAGAGCACTATACATTAATACTAGGCACCCCGTATTAACACTAGGCACCCTGCGATAACAGAAGGGCAACCTGCACTGCCATTAGGCTGCCATGCAAGAGCAATGATACCCTGCACTGCAACTGGGACGCCATGCCGTACCCATCGTAGCATTCTTCATTTACACAGGGCACCATGCGCCAGCATTAGGGCACCGTCCGTCAACATGAGGGCAGCTAGCACCCGTGCAACACCGTCCCTTTGATAAGCACCAGCGTGCCCTTACACTGGCACCACCACAGCACGCTGCTGCCGTACGATGCCGTGTCACACTACACGAGGCCATCATACAGAGACAGCGCCTGCACAATGGACGGGTCGGCCTTGGAGCCCTCGGCAAACTCCTGCAGAGACAGGCGTCCGTCCTCGTTCTGGCGGGCGACACAAGGGCGCGGGGAGGGAACAAGGGAACAAGGAGTGGAAGTGTTGGATGTGAAAAGGGAAGAGGGTAGAGGTGGGGAGGTGATTAGCATTCATCACTACAACGCACAGGGGTGTGGGTGATTCAGTGGGATAAAGCTTAAGCACGTAAATATATATAAATTCAACATCATCAGCCACGGTCAATCACGGCTGGATTAAGCCATTTATATTCCTCACAGTCCTGAGTGGCAGTCAAAAGATGGTTCCACACAGTAAGGGGGCAACACTTTCTGACTTCCTCTGACAGTGATGTTCACTGCATAACAAACTGATTTGTGAACGTGATGAGACTAGAAACTCATTGCACACATCAGAACCAAGTTCAGTCACAGGCAACTGTTAGGATTCGAACACAGGATCTCAGCGGGCCTACCTCAACACTCTTGACCTCTGAGCCACTCAGCTACTCAACCACATCAGGACACAAACATATTTAAACAAAATTATATAGCATCAATAATACGCTAAATAAATACACCAATAACAGCTTATACATGTAAATAACAAAATATTTTGTGATGTCACCTCCTTCTAGAGGCCGCTCTTTAACAAGGGGTGAAGTTACCTTGTTTTGAACTCGAGCTTAAAATTGGAATGCCTCCGTCTCGTTGCATGACGCTTATGACGCAGATGGAATTTGCGAGAATAATAAAACAGAGATCAGTAGGCCAGAGAGAGAGAGAAAGTGGCTCGAGAGGGAAGTCATAACTCACCTTATGCAATAACAATAATAATAACGCGTCCTAACGTGTCCTTTGAGGAAACAATAAATTTATTCGAAACGCCGCCTGTAGTTTAAAAAAAACAAAGCCTTGGACAATTCTACAAAAACAACCAAGCGACAATGCCCGTGTTTGTTCAATCCTCGTACATTTCCTCTCCGCTCTAAAGTGCACAAGCTTTGTTGAGCTACAGATGTAAGTAAAAAAAAATCATATTAAATGCATCATTCCATGTGTATCCCCATACCCTACTGCTAAAGCTCCATCTGGTGGACAAGGCATGGCAGCACAAGCATGCTTTACACATGACCACGATCAGCACTGCTTTGACGGGCCATAGACGCACAACCCCAGACCTTTGCAGCCTGAGGTTTGACTTCGGGATGTAGAGATGACTCATAATGCCACTGGAACCCCCCATCGTGCAGCGAGGTTTGCATACCATTGAAACCTCATTTGCCAGTAAAAAATATAATTGGTTTTTTAACCTTCTATCTGGCAACAAAACTGACACCTTTTTTACAAGGAGTCATGTTTGCATAGACCACAATACCTGCAGTCATAATGCAAACAAAAAAACAACTCTGATTATGTGCACTGTCCTTGATGTTGATTGGTCCACACCCGAGACAGCTTTCCTTAGAGCCTAGTCTCACATGGGTTGGACCAGATGACGCCAAAAGGCGAGGTTTGTATAGGTTGTGCCAACCTTGCATCATCCGTTGCTCACTCACCTTGTCCATGAGGGCGAAGATCCGGTCGACGCGTTTCTCTGGCGTGCTTTCCTCCTCCGGGAGCTCCACCGTGTTGCCCTGGGAGGTAAGAAGAGAGGAGATGGAGGAGTTGGGAGGGTGGGAAGAGAGGGAGTTGTGGTCGGGTGTGAAGATGGAACCACGTTAGTTTTTGTCAGCAGAGTGTTGCTGCCCCCTTGTGGTCTCTTGGTAAATCATTCACATTAGACATGCACGTACTCTGCACACGTAGACTCCACATGTAAAAGTACAGCCCTGTTGTCACTCCACTGCTGGATGAAGGCTTCACAAAATCGTATAGGTCAGGGGTCGGCAACCTATGGCTCCGGAGCCGCATGCGGCTCTTTACGGGCTGCTTCTTGACGATATGTACGTATGTACAGTATGTACTCAGATGCATTGCGGCTCTTGAAATACTGAATTTTGCACCGAATTGGAAAGAAATGGCTCTTCTTGTTATTTTGGTTGCCGACCCCTGGTATAGGTCGTGGGAGTTATTTCACCATAATTCAACATGATGGTTCATTTTTTTTATCAGCGCCCATTCCTCTGTTTTGACATGTGGATCAACAATGGAGAAATACAATTTTAGAAATGAAAGAAAAAATTAAAAGTGCATAAAGAATTTGTAGATGTATGCTTGGCATTATACTGAAATAAAAACAAAGAGAAACACTAGGATTGGTCAATACGAGCTGTAGACATGATGATTGACAAAAGTGGGCTTGTGCAGGACACGTCGCATAGAGGGACAATGCTCTATGGCCGTGACAGTGCATCCACTGCGGCAGTGGAGATGATGAAATCAGCTCGGGTGCAGGTGCTAGATGGATTTATCCAGTGCGTGACATTGTGGGATGCCACCAGTTTGGCGAGGAAAATCGACGATTACAAGTCATCCAAAAACAGAACAATTGTTTAACACATTCCTGCGGAGGGAGCTGGTAGGAACGTTGGGTTGCTCGGTCAATGGCCAGGGTCAACGGCGGCGTGGTGTATTCTGCAAATATGCCGGACTGTGAGGGCGGGCACAAGCCGGCGTGAGTCGGTTAAACGTTGAGTTTTATAAGGGCACCACGGGGTGACCAGCCCCTCCCCATCCAGCGCCACATCTCCCACCCCCCACACAGCCCCTCCCCACCCAGCGCCACATCTCCCACTCCCCACCCAGCCCCTCCCCACCCTCCCCTCCCTCTCCACCCCTCCCATTTTTGGATGCACGATGGACGGACACAATAATCCCCTGTTGGCTGGTAGAACCAGGTGGTTCCTACCAGTATAACTTGCACCTCTTACGAGCTCATTAGCGGATCTGTTAGGTTGTACTGATGTGTACACTTCGAGCCTGTGTATCAAAGGAATCGCATGTCTGCGTGGAAAAAATAATGGCTGCGATTCCACGCCACTCACCATCATCTTGTAGATGGCGTCTACGATGTGCAGCATCTCCTGCCGCGTAATGTAGCCATCGCTGTCCAGGTCATACAACTTAAACGCCCCTGGGGGATAGGGAAAGGGGACAAGATAGTGGGGGGGGGGGTGATGGGGTCAGGCTAGCGTCAGCTTAATAGGTCATGAGTGTCGCCGTTATAAAGCTATCTCACTCACTGGCTCCAACTCCAGCTCCTCACAAACGAATAAGGGACTGATTTGGTTCTGGTGGCTAATTTGTGGAACTGTCATGCCATTCAATACAATTTCGATGTATATAGCATATCTACAGTACCGCGGTGGTGATATGTTAACTACCTCGCCTAGTATACAGGATGTCGTGGGTTCGATCCCAAGCCTGACACCTGTATATTTGGAGTTTGCGTGTTCTCCCTGTGGTCGCGTGGAATTTCCTTCAGGTCCTCCGGTTTTTCCCTCCACATTTAGAGACATGTGTTTAGAGTGTTTGGCTGCTATAAATTCCCACGTGATTATCCACTTCGTTGAGCCATTATTTGTGGCCAGGTCACTTCTGTAAAAGAGCTTCATAACTCAGTGGGCCTTACCTGGTCAAATAAAAAGAGTTTAAATATAAAGACGACCACATCTTTATACGGAGTGCAGAAAGGGTGAATATGTATTTAGTCTTTGGGGGGAGAAGGGGATGTCTACTGGCCACCCATCTTCATCCAAGCCATAGGGGGGGCCCCCGATTGCTTCTCCCGCTCACTTGGGGCATCCGTCCGTGACTCACATTTGAGCTTCTCATCCATGGTGCCACGCGACGTAACCGACAGCGCTTGGATAAACTCGCCAAACTCAATGCGCCCGTCCTGGCCACCACACACATGTCGACAAGGAGACAAACACAGACATGGGCGGTTCCAGAAATTAGGCAACGTTACAGCTAAAGTCATCTTACTCGTACTCATAATCAGCTGCCATTCTGAAGGTTCTCCTCTCACCAAGCGCCACCCAGGTCGCGTATGTAATAAGAGCCTATGTCAAGATTCACGTGGTGATCTGCTTGGCCGGTCCCGCTTTACAGCCAATGGGGGAAGAGCCTGGGAGCATGGCCCCAGCGTGACCACGGGATGTCAGCTAGGTGATTGGTTTCGCTGGTCTTGGCCTCAGCCAATGGGAAGACAAGTCAGGGGCGTGGTCCCGGGAGTTGATGGGGGATCTGGAACATTCGGTGCAGGCTATTGAGGATTGGCTGGAGGGTACTACGTGACCCAGGCATTAAATAAGGGGAGAGAGGAGAGACAAGGGGTCAGACACAGAACTAAAAGAGGAAGAGGCCACGCGCGAGTGGGGCTCCGGGTGCCACGTGGTGGTGGGTCTCTGGTGACTGTCTGCCCGCATCCCGTTGCCTGCCAGCAACGGGGAGTGTTTGTGAACTAAGAGAAAGTGAAATAAAAGGACCGATTCTACAAGCCGTCTCCAGCGTGGTATTACACGTACAAGGACAGCGCCTAACACGCCAGGCCCATCACCGGGAAGGAACGCAGGTGTCCCACGAACCTTGTTCTCGTCGAACACGTTGAAGACGAACGACGCAAACTTGGAGGCGTCCCCGAACGGGAAGAACTGCCGATAAATCGTCTGGAAGGCGGCCGAGTCGAGCTGCCCGTTAGGACAATCCTTCATGAAGCCTCGGTACCTGCAACGCACGCGATTTATTGTAACGTTGCCGTATGTGCCGTACAGCCCCAACAACTACAATATTTATAAGGCTACGGTTTAGTTTTGTGCGTTCACTCTACCTCTCTTAATGCTACCAAATATCTGCGACGCTCAGCTAGGACATATGGTGAACTGGCAGCCACTCACTCCATCAGCCCTGCAAGACTGCACATAAAACAATCATCTTCACTAACCTGCTTCCATTCCTCCCTTAAAACAACCCACATCTCTTCTCCATCGTGGGCTAGGGAGAATAGAAAAAGAGCAATATAGCTCAGTGGGCCTTAGGGGCCATACATTTAGTACATACGCACAAATCTGTCAAAACTTGACCCCTCCCCCCTCCCTGTACGCACGCGTACTTTTTACACCCCCCCCCCCACCTGCGTACGTACGCTTGACACGCCCCCCCCCCCCCCCCCCAGAATTATTTTGGTTGTTCTTGTTTACTAGCTTGCGGCCTAGCTTTCCACACAGCTTTGAACAAAGTTATACTTGACCGTGTTATCCATCCTGACTGGTTGTTCAAAAACACGTCTATAATGATCTTAAAACACAATTAAAACTCGGTGAACTAGTCTATATAAAGTGCATCGACTGAACACCTGCTGTAACAGTAGACCGATGTACAGACGAGTGTTAGTACTGAAGTCCAGGCAGCAGCAGCACGAAGAGAACACCGCGGCAGCTAAAATCTTGAGCCAGCGGCAGTCTGCAGTGAGGCCTGATTGAAGGATGTGTAATCCATGGGTCAGGCCGCCAGAATATGTCAGACTCACTGCTGAGCTGCGTGATAGCTAGCAGTCAGGGGTACGGTGGCATACAATTGACACCTCTCCCACAGTCCTACCTCTCCCGGTAGTACTTGTCTGACAGCTGAAGAAACTGAACTGTGGCTCATTTGAAGGCCAATATAAACAAATTATTATCGAGGTTTCACCCCCCCCACCCCCCGTTTCCTATGCGTACGTACATTGTCAGTAGACCCCCCCATACGCAAGCGTATGCATTTGGGTTAACCCCCCTCCATGCGTACGTACTAAATGGATGGCCCGTTTCCTGGTGAAACAAAACAGAGTTTAGTTTAGTAATCTCACCATTGTTGGACTTCTTTCTCAGTGACTGTAACGACAAGCAGAGTGAAACGGTTCCATTAGCTTTCGGCAAGGCTGTGCTCCTGATTACACGCTGACAGTGAATATAACGACGATCGTCATAATCAAGATAGCATGATTATGACAATCATGCTGATGAAAAGAGCTATTATGTCGAATAATAGCTCTTTTGACAATTATTTAATACTGGTGACAAGTCAGAAGATGATGAAATTACGGTAATGATTATAATAATGAGCATGATATTATTGACACGATTAACTGGTCGCCCCCTAGTGATGTATGATAGTAGTTACATTAATAAAAAAAATTACGGTACGCTCGTTATACTCAATGGTTCTTTCGGTAAAGTCACGTAGATGAAAAATACATTTTGCAAAATGTTGCTGTGGCTGTTCCACCTGATGACAGAAGCTTGTGCTGCCTTCGAAACGTCGTGATTTAATTTAGTTATTTTCAATTTATAATTTTTATTATTATTATTTTTTCACCTACGTGACTTTACCGAAAGAACCAAAGAGTATGGATCCTTGCAGTCACGAAAACTTCAAATCTAGAATTACGGTAAGCTAATTATGATGGGGATGTCAATGATATACACAATATTTTAATTGTGATGTTAATGATGATGCTGTCCCTATTCACAGAAAGTCATTCTTCACCTGAGGACGGCTGCTTGCGTTGTGGCCGAAACGTCGTGAGAATTATTTTATTGTTTTATTTGTATTATTTTATTACTTCCCTTCTACGTGACTTTACCGAAAGAACCAAGAAGATACATCATGATGTTAATGATATTACACGATTGAGGATGATGACGATGTTAATGATATTGATGACAATGATAATGAATCTGATGTTAACATTGCTACCGCTGTCAATGTTATTAATGCTGCTGCTGATGATGCCGATACAATCAACGAGGCTGATGATATTACCGAAATTAATAAATCTGAGATAATTAGATACCTAGATGATAATAACGCGGAAGCCAGGTCATTTCTTACCATCAGTAAATCACATTGAGTTACAGTTTTCTAGAAAACACGGATAACTTTAATGAAAATCATACTGCTGATGATGTTGTTGATTATACACACTATGCACTGGACGTTAGTGTTGCTGACAATGTTCATGAAATTGCAAGATGCTGCTGATGATTATGTTAATGATTCTTGAAGAAAACGCATTGCCATCATTATGACAATTAGGTTAACGATATTAAATGCTGAGTATAACATGAACAATGCCAGTAATGTTCACGACATTAAGGATGACAGTAATAACGATTATTCAAATTTTCTTGCTGTGGATTTCACACCTGATGATGATTGCTTGTGTTGCAGTCGAAACGTCGTGAGAATTTTTATTGTTTAATATTTGTATTATTTTATTATTTCCCTTCTACGTGACTTTACCGAAAGAACAAAGAATATATTCTTGGTTCTTTCGGTAAAGTCACGTAGGGGAAACAATAAAATAAAAAATATAAAACAATAAAATAAAAAATATAAAACAATAAAATAAAAAATATAAAACAATAAAAAAAATTGCTGTGGTTTTCACACCTGATGATGATTGCTTGTGTTGCAATCGAAACGTCGTGAGAATGTTATTGTTTTTTATTATTTTATTGTTTCCCTTCTACGTGACTAAACCGAAAGAACCAAAAATATGAATCTCCCTGCAGTCACGCTTTAAATCGAGATGTAAACGATGCTAAACACTTACAGTAAGTCCTCCTCGTTATATCTTCGAGTTGATCTTGCCTTAGCTTACTGCCAGACTTTCCCATCACCAAACTAAAACGCTGCAAAAAACACCACCGAAACGTGAAATAACGTTCACAAATAATTACTTCTACAACAACAACCAATAGTAATAGGTTTTTACCCTTTCAACTGGTACAAAAACTGATACCTTTATACAAGGCATCATGTTTGCAATAACCACAACACAAGCAGTCAAAATGCAAACAAAAAGAAACAACTCTGATAATATGCACTGTCCTTGAAATTGATTGGTCCACACCCGAGACAGCTTTTCTTAGAGCCTAGTCTCCATTGGTGTTGGACCAGATGACGCCAAAAGGCGCACAACTCAAAAAACAGTGCACTTTCAGAGTATTGAGAGCTCGGGGGAAGCATTTACACTACGAGACATCTCCTTTACTAGTGGCAAAATATAGTAATAGGTTTTTACTCTTTCAACTGGTACAAAAACTGACAACAAAATTACATTTAAAATATTGAGGTAAATTTAATACAAATCTTTTTTGTTTCACCTCAAGTTTACTTACTTTGCAAACTCCAAACTAAAACGCCGTAAAACATCATCCAAACACTTCATAACAATTACAAATCATTACTACAACATTTAACATCTTGCGGTAAAGTAAAGACTAACACAATTGTTTTATTTCGCATCAAGTTGACTTTGCAAAACTCCAAACTAAGACGCTGCTATACACCACCGAAACTCTTAATAACAATTACAAATCCATTACTACAACATTTAACATGTTGCGGTAAATTTTGATTTAAAGCTTTCGTTACTGCAGGGATTCATATTCTTGGTTATTTCGGTAAAGTCATCACGCAGAAGGGAAACAATAAAATAATAAAATTATAAAACAATAAAATTATTACGTTTCGAATGCATTTTATTGTTTCCCTTCTAAGTGACTTTACCCAAAGAACCCAGAATATTTTGATTTAAAGATATTTATTGTTTTATATTTATATTATTATTTCCCTTCAACGTGACTCTACTGAAAGAACCAAGAAAATGAACCCAGAACATCTAGTGGTAAGGTAAAGACTAACAAAATTGTTTCTTATTTCGCCTCAGTTGACTTTGCAATCGTCAAACTAAGACACCCAAACGCTTAACAACAATTACAATTCGTTACTACAACATTTAACATCTTGCGGTAAGGTCAAGACTAACAAAATTATTTCTTATTTCGCCTCAGTTTACGTTGCAATCACCAAACTAAGACACCGAAACGCCTAACAACAATTACAAATCCGTTACTACAACATTTAAAATTGTGAGGTAAAGACAAAAAAAGTTTAGCTTCGCCTCAAGTTGACTTTGCAATCGCCAAACTAAGACGCCGCTATACTCTTAACAATAACAATTAATTACAACAAACATTTAACATCTCGAGGTAAACGTTTCACCTCAAGTTTGCTGGCTACGGGCGGGACGCGTCCCGGTTGCCTCAGGCCGCCGCCGCCTCCTCCGCGCGCTTTTTCTTAATAAGTTTAAAGTTTTAAACTCCAAACTTTGGACGACGACGACGACTCGCAGGAAGGGCGACGCTGTTGTCGCTTCGCCCCCTTATCGTGTCGAGCCTTGCGACGATTTGCGCGAGAACGCGACGAACCTTGAGGCGCCCGATCCGCAGAGACGGCGAACGGAGACGGCAAAACGGCAGCGGGAAGCCAGAGGGAGGCCCCGCCCCCTCGGCGCGTGACGTCACCCGGCACGCCGCTGCCATGGCGACCGCGCCGTTACCGCCCGGAGATCGATGTCAAAACAGAGGGATTTTTTTTTGCTTTTAAATATTAAAACTACAGGCGACGAAGAGAAATAAGCGAAGAGAAAAAAAAGAAATAAGCGAAGAAAAACGAGAGAAAGAAGTGAAGAGAAAAAGAGAGAAAGACGCGAAAAAAAAAAGAGAAAGCAAAGACGAAAAAAATATCAGTGCCCCCCCCCCCCACCGGAATGCGTGACGTCACCTGGCACGCCGCTGCCATGGCGACCGCGCCGTTAACGCCAAGAGCTTGATGTCAAAACAGAGGGATTCTTTTTGCTTTTAAATATTAAAACCTCAGGCGACGAAGAGAAATAAGCGAACATTTTTAAAAAGTGAAGAGAAAGAAGCGAAGATAAAAAAAGAGAAAGAAGCGAAGAAAAAAAGAAAGAAGCGAAGACGAAAAAAAAACATGTGGGCTCCCCGGAATGCGTGACGTCAGCCTGCACGCCGCTGCCTTGGCGACCGCGCCGTTAACGCCCGGAACTCGATGTCAAACCAGAGGGATTTTTTTTTCTTTTAAATATTAAAACCACATGCGACGAAAAGAAATAAGCGAAGATAAAAAAGAGAAATAAGCGAAGAAAAAAGAGAGAAAGACGTGAAGAGAAAAAAGAGAGAGACGCGAAGAGAAAGAAGCAAAGACGAAAAAAAATATCAGTGGCCCCCGGCATGCGTGACGTCACCCGGCACGCCGCTGCCATGGCGACCGCGCCGTTACCGTCCGGAACTCGATGTCAAACCAGAGGAATTTCATTTATTTATTTTAAATATTAAAACCACATTAATATCATGCTAATTTATCACATTAACATTACTAGCACCGCCCACTTCTTTATGACCCTTGGGCTACACCCATTTCAAACCTTTTAAAACAGTCTGCCTCAGCAGCAGACCATGCTTTCCCACCTGATGACGGACGCTTGTGTTGCGCCCGAAACGTCGTCATTTAATAAATCCTTTATATTAAGTTCACTTGCTTGCTTGCGCGCTTACGACCGTGCAAATATTTCGGTCGTTTTTTAACCCACTTCCCGTTATCCAATCGAGCTGACATTTTGCACACAGACTCGTTGTGCGTGACAATTTATTTTCGTGAAAAAAAAATCCAAAATTTTCCACTTTATAGGGGAAAAAAATTTCATATTAAATTTAAAATACCAATGTGATAAAAATGAAACTCTTACTCAAGAAAAACAGAAATGAATAATAAAATAAAACCGATGCCACGCATATAAAGGATTTATAGTGAAAAACTTTTTTTTTACGGGTTACTTTTTTTTATTTTCTACCTACGTGACTTTACCGAAAGAACCAAAGAGTATGGATTCCTGCAGTCACGAAAGCTTCAAATCAAGATTATCAAAGTATGTTTTTTGTTTGCATTCTGACCACAAGTATTGTGGTTAATGCAGACATGCTTCCTTGTAAAAGGTTTCAGTTTGGTGTTTTAACATCTCAACACCTAAATTTTGATTTAAAGCTTTCGTGACTGCAGGGATTCATATTCTTGGTTCTTTCTGTAAAGTCACATAGAAGGGAAATAATAAAAAAATAACAAAAGTAATATAAAAATATTATATAATATATATTAAAAATATGATATAAAATATATTTATATAATTATCTATTACTTTTTATTTCCCTTATTATATAATATATAAATATATAACATATATAATATTTATATTACTATTTATATTTATATTATTTTATTATTTCTCTTCTACGTGACTTTACCGAAAGAACTAAGAATATATATCTCAACACAACTGTTTTATTGCCAGAAAAAATGGGAAACCCTATTCTCATATTTTGGCACTAGCAAAGGTCCCATGATGCAATAACAATTGTTGTAAAATTACATTCAATGTCAAACTTTAGTGATTTTATTCGGCAGTTTCACCGAGGACAGATGGCAGAATGGAGATGTAAAGTATTTGGCTGCCCACGTGATTTTGGACGATTTTTGACCCCCCCCCCCCCCCCTTCGTCACACGACGTCACAAAAAATGTTGCTGTGACGGTGCCACCTGAAGACGGAAGCTTGTGTTGCCTCCGAAACGTCGTGATTTAATTCTTTTTACCTACGTGACTTTACCGAAAAAAACAAAGATTTAAGTAACTGTTTCAATTCTTACACATTAACCATCCACGTTTTGATGTAAATCACTCGCACCGCTCAAAATAATGACAAAATCTGTCACCCATTTGCAGTGTGGTTTATTACCTTCTTCAGCAAGCCTCGACTGCAAATACAATAAGGCACACTGCGCATACCAAGTGCTGTCAGGGTGCAGTAAGTACATCAGTGGCGTAGCTATCGAGTGTGCCAGGCTGTACATCTAAACCAGGGCCCCCCCCCACAGGCGGGAGAGGCCCAGACACCGGCCTAAGCAGAGAGGGGGGGGAGAAATGACGCAGTAAACACTAAACTATTTTTTATTTTACCAGGTAAGGCCCACTGAGCGATATACTTATTTTTCAGAAGTGACCTGGCCACAAATGACAGCTCAACGAAGTGGCTTGTCGCGTGGAAATGTCTAGCAGCCAAATACTCGAGACGCGTGTTCATTCTAAAAATGTGGAGGGGAAAAAAAAACGGAGGAACCGGAGAAAAATACATGCGACCACGGGGAGAACACATACACACAGGCGTCAAGGTCGGGATTGAACCCACGACCTCCTGTATACAATGGTGGAGCCAGGATTTTCAGGTAGGAGGGGGTAACCCCTCCAGAAATGAAAAATTATAGGAGTTGTAAGGACTTGTTCCTTGCTTTTCATTCGAGGCGTGTGCGGCGATGGCGCAACCATCGGTCGAGTTTTAACCGCGTTGTGTGATTGGCATCGCGCTCGCTGAAGGTGAATGCCTTCAGGGAAGTCGTGGATTGTAGTCGCAACTGTGCACAATTCTGAGTCACTTATAACTGCTTTGCCGTTACTTATTGCCAATTATGGACTCAGATTATTGTCCTCTCATCCCTGGCACATAATAATATGCTACACAGTGGCAGTGAGGGTTGCAAAATGCCAATTTATTACTAATAAACCCCAATGATCCGATCGAAATTAGAGATTTCGATCGGATCATTGGGAGGGCACGTGCCACCCCCCCCCTCCCCCACTGGCTCCACCTATGCCTGTATACGAGGTGAGGTAGTTAACATCTCGCCACCGAGGCGCCCCACCATGGAACGCAGAACGTTGGGCCGACGTCGACCCAACGTTGCGTGTTTACCGCGGTAGACACGAGAGGCACATTTTCAGTCCTTTGCACCAAGGGCCGTGCCAACCCACGCTACGCCACTGGCATACACAGGCAGGTCGGGGGGGGGGGGCATCTGTGTACGAGCAGCCCGGCGGCCCTCAGAGGGGACGGGCGATGATGGCGGCAGTCAAAAAGCGCAAAGCCGCGAACATTTACAGACAATTACATATTTGTAAAGCGTCCAAATGTGGACCATATCTCAAGACAATAAGCGCGGCGTCCGCACCATCGCATCATCTGGAAAGAATAAGGGCAAAACAAATTCAGATGAAATGCAAAAGTTGGAGAAAGTGGGATGTGTGGTTGGGGGAATATGATACATGATGCAACGGCGGTGGCAGCAGCAGCAGCAACGCAGGGTCACTGCGTGTAGAGGCTGGCGGCGAACACGATATCGCGCTTGATGGCGTCCGACGCCCGCTCCATCTTGTCGCGCAGGATGGGATCCCCGATGACGCGCGCCGCTCCCCGCACGTCCCGGCACGCCTCATGCAGCCGCTGGACGCAGCGCACCACCACCCCCTCCTGCACGTCCGTGAGCCGCGCAATCTCCGCAAACGGCTGGGGCGGGGGCGGTGGGTGGCGGTAGGTGGCGGTGGGTGGCGGTGGGTGGCGGTGGTAGCGGTGGCGGCGGTAATGGTGACGGTTCATGGTGGTGGTGGTGATGGTGGTTGTGGTGGTTGTGGTGGTCATGGTGGTGGTGGTTGTGGTGGTCATGGTGGTGGCAGTTGTGATGATGGTGGTGGTGATCATTATGATCGCGGTGATGATGATGGCGGTGATGATGATGGTGGTGATGATGATGGCGGTGGTAGCGGTGGCGGTAATGGTGACGGTTCATAGTGGTGGTGGTGATGGTGGTTGCGGTGGTCATGGTGGTAGCAGTTGTGATGATGGTGGTGGTGATGATTATGATGGCGGTGATGATGATGGCGGTGGTCGCGGTGGCGGTAGTGGAGACAGCAGTGTTGGTGGCGGGGATCAAGGTGGTGATGGGGATAATAGCGGAGGTGGCGGTGGTGATGGCGGTCGCAGAGGCAGCAGCGGTGACGGTGTCAGTCGTCATAGTGGTAGCAATGATGATGATGAGGGCGGTGGTAGTGATGGTGTTGCCGGTGGTGATGGTAGTGGCGGTAGTTGAGGCAGCAGTGGTCAAGATGGCGATGGAGATGATGGTGGTGGTGGTGGTGATGGTGACGGTGTTGGCGGTGGTAATGGTGGTGGTGGGGAAGATGGTGGCGGTAGCGGTGAGTGAGTTGAGTGGTGGTGTGTATCACAGACAGGGGAAAGAGACAGTGTTGGCATCAAAAAGGGGACTTTTCTGTTACGGCCCTAAGTCTTTGACACGGTCTTCCCATCAGCATGGTCTTGTGGCTCCAGGATGAGGAGGCCACAGAGATGTGCTCACGCGACAAACTCGCTGTGCTCAACTCTGGCCCCTAACAACAACAATTATGGACTGCATTGATAGTGGTGGTGTCTCATTTCTTTGGCACTGCTCTGCCATACAAAACAATAGAATGAAATTTGTACATGTACATGGTGGCCCAAACGTCAGGACACACAGGGTGATTTGTTTTATCATAACACTGGCATGATTTTTGTTTGAATAATTATTTCTTTAAGTTAATATTTGATCTGTTATGATTATTCTCAATATCTATTTTTTTTTTCTCCCAATGGGGGTTCGCATCAAATCTGTCGTTTTTACAAAACTCGACCAAGAACCCCGAATGAGAATTGGGACGACAATCCGCACCTCCGATCAGCATGGTTGGCTGCATACGGTACGGTGCGAAAGAAGTTCAACACGCATACATACAGCAAAACATAACCGATAAATGCCAACTGCTTGCTCACGCCTGCAATCTTGACCAAAAAAAACTGTCCTAAATGAATTTCAAAAGAGAATTAGTGCATCATGCATTCATGTTAGTGGAAATCGGTTTGAACATTCGTGAAAAAAAAAGAAATTTTGTTAAAAATTACTATAAAGTATTTTGGTTTTACCAGGTAAGGCCCATTGAGTTATACAGATATTTTTCAGGAGCCCAATGAAGTGACTGATGTGGACTGTTTATAGCAGCCAAATACTCTAAACCAGGGGTCGGGAACCTTTTTGACCGGGAGAGCCACAAAAGCCAAATATTTCTAAATATATTGCATTGAGAGCCATATAGTATTTTTAACGTATAATAAATTAAATATGTATTACTTTTAATGCGACTTCTGGTGCTGCATGGTTTTGCTGATGGCCTTGTAGTCTGGTTCGTACGTGGTGAGGTTGAGCTTCATGCAGGCGTTGAGGCCCCGTGAAATTTATCTTCAAAACTAATTTCTGTTTACTTTAAAATGACACAGTATTATTAAGCAATATCACAAGTATTTAAAAATCAGTTCCAAACTGATTTTTGTATTTTTTTCAACTCAAAATTGTCTGGGAGCCATATGCCGTCACCAGAAGAGCCATATATGGCTCGCGAGCCATAGGTTCCCGACCGCTGCTCTAAACGCATGTTTCTAAATGTGGAGGGAAAAACCGGAACATCTGGAGAAAAACTCCACGCGACCGTGGGTAGAACATGCAAACTTCAAATACATCGTCAGGGTCGGGATAAACATACCCCTAACATTTTGTGGGCACAAGATGTATATTTGTTTCACCGCGTCTCTCACCATGCCGCGGGCCCACTCGTACACGACCTCGACCAGGCCGAACTTGTACTGATCCACAAAATCCTCCACCGACTCCGAGATGCCACACTCACGCTGCAGCAGGGCGATGCGTTCCGCCACGCCGCGGATTCGCTCCACGCCCTGTCAATCGCACGCACGCAAACGCACGCAGATACTGTAAACTAAACTACAGCACTTGCCCCAACGGTCTGATAACGCTAAACAGGAGGTAGGAAATCTTTGTCTTGTGTGTGGAGTTTGTATATCCTTTCCCTCTGTTCTGCATGGGTTTCCTCCGGGTTCTCAGTTCATATAGCGTCATTCATGCAATTGCATCCCACAACGCTGCACAGCCATTATCCAGTTCCGTAGAGAGATAATACAAAAATAAAACCCCACGACAGTAAAACCTTGGATTGCGAGCATAATTCGTTCCGGAAACGTGTTTGCAATCCAAAGCACTCGTATATCAAAGCGAATTTCCCCATAAGAAGTAATGGAAACTCAGATGATTCGTTCCACAACCCAAAAATATTCATGTAAAAATGATTAATACAAAATAGCTATTTATATTTTTATTATTAAAATTTAATGGAAAATAATCAAATGTATTAATTAAATGTAATCGTGGCTGGTGTGAGGGAGATGAGAGAGAGGAGGAGGAGGAGGGTTATTGTGTAGGCCGACTTTCACTGTCACTAACAGAATCACTGCCATCGGTTGGCTCACTAGAATATTTTTCTTTTTGTGTGACTTTAACAAGGAACCTATCCAATGACACTTGCTTTTGCCTCCTTTTGAGGAGGCAAAAAGCTTTGTTGCAGTACAGTTACTAAAGAACAGTCACTACACTTGGACACAAAATAAAAAAATGCTTTACGCACAAACTCGTGGTCACAACACTTTAGTAAACAGTATACACTCTCGCACGGATGTTGACTATACGAGTGAGGCACGCCAACTGAGACCGAGCACGGGAGACGATTACCCACAATCCCGCAGCGAGAGAGAGAGAAGAACCATCGGCTCAGTTGTGATCACGTGACGCTCGGCAGACAAAGCATACACTGTACGTACTACTCGCATTGCAAGAGCTCGCTCGTTTATCAAGTTTAAATTTATTGAAAATTTTAGCTCGTCTTGCAAAACACTCGCAGATCAAGTAACTCGCAATCCAAGGTTTTACTGTATCAACTATTTTTATTTTACCAGGTAAGGCCCCGCTGAGCAATGTAGCTCTTATTCAGAAGCGACCTGGCCACAAATGATAGCTCAACGAAGTGGCTTATCATGACGTGGAAATATATAGCAACCAATTACTCTAAACGCGTGATGTTGATTCGAAATGTGGAGGGAAAAACCAGAGGACCCGTAGAAAACATGCAAACTCCAAATACTGTATACAGGCGTCAAGGTCGAGACCGCGAGTGAGTGAGTGATTGATTGGACAAGCGGGTGAGCAACTCAGAGAGCGAGTGATTCTTACAAGCAAGCGAGGGATTGGGCGAGAGGCGATTGGACAAGCAGGCGAGCAAATGGGCGAGTGATCAAGGGAGACGGGCCGGAGGCTGGCGCCGTGGGCGAGCGAGCGGGATCAATACTCTTAGTTTTTAAATCCTTTATATTAAGTTCGCTTGCTTGCTTGCTTGCGTGCTTGCGTGCTTGCTTGCTTGCTTTCGACCGTGCAAATCTTTCGGTCGTTTTTTAACCCACTTCCCGTGATCCAATCGAGCTGACATTTTGCACACAGACTCGTTGTGCGTGACAATTGATTTTCGTGAAAAAATTGTTTCCCAAATTTTACACTGTTTAGGGAAAAAAAAATATTTAATTACCAATTGCTTAATGGTGGCAGACAATCATCTGACCCATAGGTGGCAGCCATCTCAAGCCAGAGGACGAGAGGACTCTAGCCGCCCCGATGCCACGCATATAAAGGATTTATAGTGAAAAACTTTGTTTTTACGGGTTAATTTTTTTTCGGTAAAGTCACGCAGGTAAAAAATGAAATTAAAATTAATAAAAAATAAAATAACAAAAAATCACGACGTTTCGGAGGCAACACAAGTCTCCGTCATCAGGTGGGACCGTCACAGCCAGATTTGCTGTTATTATTAATTTTAATTTCATCTTTTACCTACGTGACTTTACCGAAAAAACCAAACAGTATGGACCCTTGCAGTCACGAAAACTTCAAATCTAGAGTTACTTAACTATTATCTTAATTATAATTATGAAGCAACATTGGTTGCTGTTGTTGTGTGGATGGTCTTGCCCCTGTCATAGGAATGTGGAATTTATACATCAGCTTCATAAATATGGATTGAAGAATCCATTTATGCACTATGCTGACCACCTCACAGTATTAAGTAACCACGCTACATTTTAATTGGGAGTGCAACTACCGAGTGGAGACGTAACAGGTAAAAAATTAACCCGTAAAAACAAAGTTTTTCACTATAAATCCTTTATATGCGTGGCGGCTAGAGTCCTCTGGCTTGAGATGGCTGCCACCTATGGGTCAGATGATTGCATTGCACCATTAAGCAATTGGTGATTAAATATCATATTTTTGTCCTAAAAAGTGTAAAATTTTTGAATTTTTTTTTTCACGAACATTAATTGTCATGCACAACGAGTCTGTGTGCAAAATGTCAGCTCGATTGGATCACGGGAAGTGGGTTAAAAAAACGACCGAAAGATTTGCACGGTCCTAAGCAAGCAAGCAAGTGAACTTAATGTAAAGGATTTAAAAATGAAAGTCATTAAGATGTATTTATCCTTGCAGTCACGAAAGCTTCAGAGCGGGATCAACCCAACGAGCCGAGTAGGAACGAGCGGGCCAATCGGGGGGGGGGGGACGGACGAGCGAGCCACCGAGCGACCGAGCGGGCACCTGCTTGAGTGTGGGCGTGAGCGTGGGCTCCGTGCGCGTCTTCTGCTGGAACACGAGGCAAGAGAGCAGCGCGGCAATCTCCTCCGGCGCCAGCTCGGACAGCGCGTTCTCAAACACGAGCTCGGTGACGAGCAGCTCGTGGCTGCTCACCTCGCACGCCACGCGGCCCTTGAGCTGCACGGCGCACGACTCGTCCAGGTAGCCCAGCTGCTTCAGCACCTGCAGCGGAGGGTCGGGAGGGGGGGGGTGTCAACGAGAGGGGGGGCGGTAGCGGCGCCGGCGGCAGTGGCGACGTTTAAAGGTGGCGGCTACGACGAGAGCGGTCGCCGAGGGTATGGAGAATCGGGGCGACCGCCCTGAGTCCCGCGCTTCGATGTTACGGATGTCATACTTCCGGTTCAGCTTGAAGGCGTCGGGGGGAATCAAACGGTGGGATTTGCCCCGGGCCCCACACCCCACACCCCCACCCTATGAAATGCCCTCCAGCCAAGGCCCACAGACAAAGAACCCCAGTATAGCCTAAAATAGACCGTTGGGGCAAGTGCCGTTCACGAGCACCGATGAAGGCTGACACGACACACAAGGGGGGGTGGGTGGCCAGTACCACGCCCGACCACCTTTGTCTCCCTAGTAACGATTTTTACACACCGCTCCAGGTACTCATTTAAGGTCTGAGTCGACCTAGGGGAGACCGAGGACCCGTTGAGATAATCGTCACCGGTGTTGGCAGCGAGCGGGAATCGAACGCGGGTCGCCGGTTCCGTAGCGCCGCGCGATAACCACTCCACCGCCGTTCCCCATAGGAGTAGAAGCGCACACACACACACACACACATTTGTGTGACAGACAGAGAGACGCACGGTACGGACACCTGGATGCGCTGGTGGTACTCGGGCAGGAGGTGCAGGCTCTGGTCGGACATGAGGAACTTGACATGCGAGAGCTCCCTCTCAACGCGCGACCGCTCCTCCATGCGAGCGTACTGCAGAGACACGCGGTAAAATTTCGATTTAAAGCTTTCGTGACTGCAGGGATTCATCTTCTTGGTTCTTTCGGTAAAGTCACGTAGAAGGGAAGTAATAAAATAATAAAAATAAAACACAATAAAATAACTCTCACGACGTTTCGGCCACAACGCAAGCAGCCGTCCTCAGGTGAAGACCAGGTCTGTAGGGGAGACAGAAATCGCTGTCTCCCCGACAGACCTGTTCTTCACCTGAGGACAGCTGCTTGCGTTGTGGCCGAAACGTCGTGAGAATTATTTTATTATGTTTTATTTTTATTATTTTATTACTTCCCTTCTACGTGACTTTACTGAAAGAACCAAGAAGAAAAAAACACGCGGTAAAGTACGGCCCGGTGCCATTAGCGAGCAGCCGTTACAGAGGAGGGGATGCAAGCGGAAAATCAAACGGACCTTCTCGGAGCGAGTCGATTTCTCGAGAGGGAAGAGTCTTTCCCTCTCTCCCTCTCTGTCTCTCCGACCTTCTCTCACTCACTCTTGCGCTCACTTTCCCTCCCTTCCGCTCTCTCCCTCCCTCTCTCTCCATCTCTCTCTCACTCCCTCCCGCTCTCTCAGTGGAAACAAGAAGATGCTCGGTGTAGTCGGCACTTTGCTTTGTTCATCATTTAGTATTTTTTTTTTATCTTCGCTTTATGTAAACCCCCCCCCCCCTCTCGCTCTCGCTCGCTCGCTCACTCTCTCGCTCACTCACTCTCTCGCTCTCTCTCGTTCTGCACGCAGCCCTTCTCGCAGTCCAACGGCCTCCAACGGGTAGCTCATATCAGCACGCAGAGCTCCCCGTCATCTGCCACCGAGCACACGGCCTCCTCCATCGCCCACTGCTCCTTGAAGGCCGGCACGGCGTGGGTCAGCCGCGCCGCATGGCGGAACTCCAGCCCACACACCCTGGCTCCGACCAGAGCGCGGAAGAATTCCCTCTCTCTCCCTCCCACTCACTACCGCTCTCTCTCACTCCCTCCCACTCACTCCTGCTCTCTCCCACTCTCACGCTTTCTCTCTCTCACCTGCGACTGGAACTTGGGGCTGGCCGTGCAGGTGAAGTGCGGGATCCTCTCAGCGAGGACGCGTGCCCGCATGCTCGCCTCCACCGCGCCGGCCTCCTTGGCGTGGAGGTCGTTCACGGGGTCCAGGGGCCTCAGGGCCCCACTGCCGCCGCCACCGGCAGCCGCCGCCTCCGCCAAACGCATCAGCTCCTGCGTCGCCGTGGTTACCGACTGGCCGGGCGGGTCGCTCCTGGAAGGGCGACGCGAGTCAACGCATGCGTCTCCACGTTTTTGGGGGGTGGGGGTGGAGTGTAGTGGGGGGGGGGGTAAACGTCGCGATCGACGCCACGACCCGGGTTTTCTGTCGTGCGCGAGTCCCCGACAGCGCCGCGGCTTGTGCACGAAAGTATCGTTCGTATCGGATCACCGTTACGGGAGCCATCGTGGCCCAGTGTTGCAGACGGACAGAACTAACATGTAGGGCAAGTCGCAAACAGCAACGGGGCTTTACACGAAAGTATCGTTCGTATCGGATCACCGTTACGAGAGTCATCTTTAGCCCAGTGTTGCAGATGGACAGAACGGGTAATGCGGGTCCCTAACAGCAATGGGGCATCACAATAAAGAATAGTTCGTACAAAATCAACTTCATGCAGCTCCGATTAGCACGGGTGGCTGCATACTCGTGCGAAAGAAGTTCGACAAATAATCATTTACGAGAATTACCGTGGCCCGGCGTGACAGACGGACAAAACAAACACGCTGGCCGAGTCCCTAATTGCAAAGCGGCTTTACACTAAAAGTGTCGTTCGTGTCGGATCGCCTTTACCAGTTATCGTGACCGCGTGTTAGATGGATGGAACTAACGCAAAATGATAAGACATATTAGTCTCAAAAGTATACATGAACCCGATGGCTAAAACAACATTTCACAGCCCATCCAAAATAGCCACCAACAATCGTCCCACATCACCGCGTGTCAGAGGTCGCAAACGGGTTTTGATTCCTTACCCGTACCCGGCCGCACCAGGGTCGCAAACGGGAACCCGTACCCTACCCGATACCCGGCTACCCGTACCCGGCCGGGTATCGGGTAGGGTACGGGTACCCGATTGCGACCTCTGGGATGAAGCCATGTTGCAGGCGCGGGTGGGTTGATTCTCGGAACTTGAATTCAGAGAAGAGACAAGACGTTGGGAAATGAGTGACAAACGGTTACTCACCAGTGACTCACGGCCTACCCGTATCCGTACCCGGCCGCACCAGGGTCTCAAACGGGTACCCGTACCCCCGTACCCGGCCGGGTACGGGTAGCCGGGTATCGGGTAGGGTACGGGTATCGGGTACCCGGTTGCGACCTCTGCCACGTGTACATCTGCAGCCCTTAGTCAATCCACTGCTGGATGAGGGCCTCCCCATCCCGTGGAAGTTAGGGGGAAGCGGTCATGGATTTTTTTTTCCGGGTGCTCCGGTTTTTCCCCTCTACATTTAGACGCATGCGTTTTGATTATTGTGCCGCTGTAAATGTTCACACGATAAGCCACTACGTTGAGCTACAATTTGTGGCCAGGCACTTCTGAAAAGTAAGCTAATACCTCAATGGGCCTTACCCTGGTGAGATAAAAAAAAATAGTTTAGTTTTATTTTAATATTCTTTTCAGTGATGTGTTTACCTTTCCTATACTTTGCACTCCTATTGTGTTTTTCTATCACTTGTTTATGTAACCTTCTGTGAAAAATAACTTTATAGCTCATCGGATTCCTCCAGTATAAACAAATATTTAGATTCTGATTTGACTGTACTTTGACACCGGGCTGTTATTATTACGAATAAAATTAATCGAACCACGAGTCGAATCGCGATCCTGAATCATGGCAATCATTCGAATCGTCGCTCGGTGACGTCATCGCAGCAGCCGCCCCCCCCCCCACCCAAACAGGGCCCACCTGAATCGCGGGATCTGCCTCTTGTTGAAGTCGTCGATGATTTTCTCGGGGCTGATCTTCAGCGCGCGGTCGGCGATCACGACGATGTCGTCGATTCGCAGCTTCTCCACCGAGTGACTGCACGCCCCTGTACGCCGGGTACGGGGTGGGGGGGATGGTGGTGATGATCACGACGACAACGACGATAACCACGATCACGATGGAGACAGCTGGAAGCATTGCCGCAACATCAGGAGACCGCGAGAGATGGCGACGGCTTAGGCAGGACAGACCACGGCTGATTACGATGACGACGACGACGGGAGGGAGGGAGGCTCTCGTACCTTCGGGCACGAACACTTTGGTGGCCAGCAGGTGGTCCGGAGTCGGCGCCGGAGGGGGCGGAGGAGGGCGGGGGGGGGCTGCCCCCCCTCCCTCGGCCGCCAGCTTCTGCTCGCAGAGCACGAGCGCTGTGTACGATCTCGAACCGCCGGCCTCCGTGGACACCTGGGGGAGAAAGAACAAAAAAAACAAAAAAAAAACGGCACGGAGTCGCCGGAACGCACGCACGGTTAGCACGGTGGGCTACGTACGGTGCGGAAGAAGTTCAACACAGTATCTTCTTGGTTCTTTCGGTAAAGTCAGGTAGAAGGGAAATAATAAAAATAAAACATAATAAAATACGATTCTCACGACGTTTCGGCCACAACGCAAGCAGCCGTCCTCAGGGGAAGAACAGGTCTGTCGGAAAGACAGCGTCTAAATTAAGACCTGTTCTTCACCTGAGGACGGCTGCTTGCGTTGTGGCCGAAACGTCGTGAGAATTGTATTTTATTATGTTTAATTTTTATTGTATTATTTCCCTTCTACGTGACTTTACCGAAAGAACCAAGAAGATGAATCCCTGCAGTCACGAAAGCTTTAAATGGAAATTCAACACAGTACATACACACACAGCCCGGTGCTCGCACAGCTGCATTGGTTGCCGCACGAACGCATTACAAGGTTGCGCTCATTACACACAAAAGTGCACGCCACGAATGAACCACAAAAGTTTGCCGGTCCCGTCAAGGAGCAAAAACCATTACGCAAACTCCGGCCATCCTCGAAGGCAGCGGCTTTTGGCTGGCGGTCGAACAGAGGCGGTCACTGCGTCGTGCGCTTTCAGGTGCGTTTCTGTGGCCGTCTTCCGATATGAGGAAGCCCGCTTGAACGATGCACTTTTTAAATAATCGAGATTGAAAACGAATTTCTTCAGAACTGCTTTTTAGTGTTTAGTTTGTTGTCCGAGTAGCACGGCTGGCTACGTACGGTGCGAAAGAAGTTCAACGTACGTACATCATTACAATGACAACGATTATTAGAGCCGGACTATCGGATTTATTGAGGATCCCTCCAGTAGAAATAAATATTCTGCGCGGTCGGCTCGGTCCACAGTGGGGATCGGCGGCGCAGCGGTTAGCGCACCGCGCTACGAACCCGGCGACCTACCGCCTGCACCACCCCCCAAACCAGAGGTCGCAACCGGGTACCCGATACCCGTACCCTACCCGATACCCGGTTACCCGTACCCAGCCGGGTACGGGTACCCATTTGCGACCCTGGTGCGGCCGGGTACGGGTACGGGTAGACCGTGAGTCACTGATGAGTAACTGTTTGTCACTCATTTCCCAACGTCTTGTCTCTTCTCACAATTCAAGTTCCTAGAATCATCCCACCCGCGCCTGCAACATGGTTTCATCCCAGAGGTCGGAATCGGGTACCCGATACCTGTACCCTACCCGATACCCGGCCTGGTACGGGTAGCCGGGTATCGGGTAGGGTACGGGTACGGGTACCCGTTTGCGACCCTGGTGCGGCCGGGTATGGGTAAGGAATCAAAACCCGTTTGCGACCTCTGCCCCAAACCCCGACCCCCCCAGGGCGGCACCTGCAGCAGCACGGCGAGCGAGTTGGGCGCGCGGGACGAGTTGGCGACCACCACGCGGCCCGGCAAGAGGGCGCGGGCGCCGGCGGGGGTGGCGGCGGCGCCGCGCAGCGCCTCGCAGCGCAGCTCCACGAACTGGCGGGCGCAAGCGTGGTACTCGGGCAGGTCCGACAGCTGGCCCGAGCAGTCGGCCTCCGCCATCCCAGAGAGACGCGCGGAGAGGTGCCGCACCCTGTGCTCGTGCTCCTGTGTGCGGCGGCGGGGGGTGGTGGAGGGGGCGTGGGAGGGGCAGGGAATGGAGGGGAGTAGAGGGAGGGGTGGTCACAGTCGCTTTGTGAGTGTCGCTGCCCCCTTGTGGTCTCTTGATAATCATTCACATGAGACATGCACACGTAGTCTACACGTCAGAGGTCGCAACCGGGTACCCGATACCCGTACCCTACCCGATACTCGGCTACCCGTACCTGGCCGGGTACGGGTATCCGTTTGCGACCCTGGTGCGGCCGGGTACGGGTAGGCCGTGAGTCACCGGTGAGTAACCGTTTGTCACTCATATCGGGTAGGGTACGGGTAGTGTACGGGTACCCGTATCCGGCCGGGTACGGGAAAGGAATCAAAACCCGTTTGTGACTTCTGCTACACGTACTATACGCTCGTTATCCACACACGTGCTCTACACATGCTCCACATGTAACTCCACATACGTGCTCCACACTGCGCTACGAACCCGGCGACCCGAGTTCGATTCCTGCTCACGACCAACACCAGTGACGATTATCTGAACCATTCCTGGGCCTCCCCTAGGTCGACTCAGCCCTTAAATGTGTACCCGGTGCGGTGTGATAACACATCGCCATTGGCGAGGCGGCCGGAGGTGGTGCTGGCCACCCACCCCTCCGTGTGCCGTTCAGCCTTCATAGGTGCTACTCGCTAATAAGGCTATAGGGGCGATCTTTCTCTTCTCATGTATGTATGTTGAACTTCTTTCGCATCGTACGTAGCCAACCGTGCAAATCGGAGGTGTGTGCATGTGTGCCTGTGAATCAGTCTACCCATGGCACCTGGGTCTGTCCTGTGACCTCCTGCCAGCGGGCGTTCGACACCTCACGTGGCCTTAAAGTGCACATAGCCTGGCACAAGCGCCGCGGTGACGTCACCGCCATTCGGTGGCGAATGGCGGTTGTTGTTGTTGTTGTGGCGGTTGTTGAACCTTGGCGTCCTTGCGCGTGTGGAACTCGGAGAAGCTCCTCTTCATCATGTCCTCCACGCGGATCGCCTCCACGCGCAGCAGGTTCAGGATCATGGTGTACGTGAGGCGGAACTGAGACTCCAACTTCGTGGGCTTGCCCTGTACAAACAGACACAAAAAACGTGCGCAAACTATTTTAAAACTACATATTTTTTATTTCACCACAAGCGACCTTGACATCACAAATGATAGCTCAACGAAGCGCCTTATCACCACGTGGAAATTTATAGCAGTCAAATACTCTAAACGCATAGAGATGATTCTAAATGTGGAGGGAAAAACCGGAGGACCCAGAGAAATATCCACGCAACCACAGGGAGAGAGAGAGACACGCAAACTCCAAATATACAGCAGCAGGAGTCAGGGTTGGGATCGAACCCACGACCTCCTGTATACCAGGCGAGGAAGTTAACATCTCCTAGCCACCGTGATGATGATGAGAGAGACGCAAACTCCAAATATACAGCAGGCGTCAGGGTCGGGATCGAACCCACAACCTCCTGTATACCAGGCGAGGAAGTTAACATCTCCTAGCCACCGTGATGATGATGAGAGAGAGAGACACGCAAACTCCAAATATACAGCAGACGTCAGGGTCGGGATCGAACCCACAACCTCCTGTATACCAGGCGAGGTAGTTAACATCTGGCCACCGTGACAATGATGAGAGAGAGACACGCAAACTCCAAATATACAGCAGGCGTCAGGGTGGGGATCGAACCAACAACCTCCTGTATACCAGGCGAGGAAGTTAACATCTCCTAGCCACCGTGATGATGATGAGAGAGAGAGACGCAAACTCCAAATATACAGCAGGCGTCAGGGTCAGGATCGAACCCACAACCTCCTGTATACCAGGCGAGGAAGTTAACATCTCCTAGCCACCGTGATGATGATGAGAGAGAGAGACACGCAAACTCCAAATATACAACAGGCGTCAGGGTCGGGATAGAACCCACAACCTCCTGTATACCAGGCGAGGTAGTTAACATCTCCTAGCCACCGTGATAATGATGAGAGAGAGACATGCAAACTCCAAATATACAGCAGGCGTCAGGGTCGGGATCGAACCCACAACCTCCTGTATACCAGGCGAGGTAGTTAACATCTCCTAGCCACCGCATCGCCCACCTACAGCAGAGGGGGGCGGTGGCAGCACCAGCGCTCACCAGCATCATCTTGTGCAGGTCGGACATCTCCGGCACGCCCATCTTGCACAGGATGATCACCATGCCCGTGGTGTCGAGTCCGCGTCTGCCCGCGCGCCCCGCCATCTGGATGTACTCTCCTGGGGGAGGGGAGGCAGGACGGGCACGGGCTCGAGGATTAATTTAAAAAAATATATATGTATAAACGGGGTCAAAGGGTAACGAAACAGACCAAGGAGGGCAGCCACAGGTGAAAGGGCTGGCAAGTTGTGGGGTGGGGAGGGGGCAAATACGGAGCAGTGGGGGTCAGGGCGTGATGAGGCAGCGCGTCCAGACCCCCGCTGCTCCCCTCGACATTCCCGAAACCATTTAATTCAAGATCAAGAGAGAGGAGCGCTGATCTCCTCTTGACAAATCCGCGCCAGAGCTGGAAATCCCACATTCACACAGCTGGGGGTGAATGTGTCCGTGAAGAGACAGCACCGTTGACCTTCCACAAACGTGGTTCCCATTCTCTTCAACACAGAGGGAAGACAGGCCGAGTTAATCCCACACTCCCGCACCTCCGATTAGCACGGTCGGCTACGTACGGCGCGACAGAAGTTAACACGCGCACACGCGTACGACATACGTATGTTACGGGCGGCCGGATAGTTCGTGGGAGGTGCGCATGGCAGACACCGTTGGAACGCTGGGTCGAGATCTGGGGTCTTCACCGCCCGCCCGGCTGTGGTGAAACTGCACTCCGGTTTTTTTTCCCTCCGCATTTACAAACATGCGTTTAAGACTATTGAGATGAATTTGCTGCTATAAATGCCCAAACGATAAGCCACTTTTGATTTAAAGCTTTCGTGACTGCAGGGATTCATATTCTTGGTTTTTTTCGGTAAAGTCACGTAGAAGGGAAATAATAAAATAATATAAATATAAAGCAATAAAAATTATCACGACATTTCCACTGCAACACAAGCAAATCATCATCAGGTGTGAAATCCACAGCAAGAAAATTGAAAAAATTAACCCGTAAAAACAAAGTTTTTCACTCTAAATCCTTTATATGCGTGGCGGCTAGAGTCCTCTCGTCCTCTGGCTTGAGATGGCTGCCACCTATGGGTCAGATGATTGTTTGCAGTATTAAACAATTGGTAATTAAATATTTAATTTGTTTTCCCTAAACAGTGTAAAATTTTAGAAAAAAAATTTCACGAACATTAATTGTCTCGCACAACGAGTCTGTGTGCAAAATGTCAGCTCGATTGGATCACGGGAAGTGGGTTAAAAAACGACCGAAAGGTTTACAAGGTCGTAAGCAAGCAAGCAAGCGAACTTAATATAAAGGATTTAAAAAGTGGCAGTTTTTCCTGACGTCAGCACCAAGGACAGCGATTTGGCAGTTTGTTGAGCTATCATTTGTGGCCAGGTCGCTTGTGAACAATTCGCTAGTACCTCAGTGGGCTCTGCCTGGTAGGATGGGGATGGTTTCGTTTGATTTGTGTGCGTTTGGGCGATTTGTTTACATTTCTCGTACTCTGCACTCGTGTTTTTGTACTGTCTGTTGTTGTAACGTTGTTAACCGCCCCGACATCTGTGAAAACGAGCTTCATAGCTCATCGGATTCCTCCAGTTATAAATAAATATTCGGATTCTTATTCCCAAGTCAAGAGGACTTGGCGCTCTGAGTCCCAGCCAACAAATGACCGCATCAGAAAAAGACATCCGCCACCGTGTCACGTTTAGTTTCGCCATTCAGGTGTTCACGAATCCCTATAACTTTAGTAATAGCTATTTTAGCTCGCTATGTTTTATTTGACCAGGTAATCCCCACTAAGCTATAAAGCTCTTTTTCAGAAGCGACCCGGCCACAACTGATAGCTCAATGAAGTTGGCTTCTAATCACGTGGAAATCTATAGCGGTCAAATACTCTGAAAAGCTAGATTCTAATCCACGCGACCAAGGGGAGAACGTGCAAAACTCTGAATACATATAGGTGTCAGGGTTGGGATCGAACCCACGACCATCCGTATACCAGGCGAGGGAGAAAACATCTCCTAGCCACCATGGTGCCTCAAAGAGAGATGATAGGCCGTGTCAATCCCAAACTCCCGCACCTCCGATTAGCACAGTTGGCTACAGCATCGAGTGTTGCCCCCTCGCACGTGGGGTTTTGTGTACTCAAAGTGTCCCATAATGCTTAGGCTACGTAGACGGCACAGGTGGAGAGTCCACGTCTCTTGCTGTGCCGCCTTCTGCCAGGCGAGCCGGGGTAACGGCTCCTCCTCGACGCCCACGGCGGAGGTGGGGGGAAGGGAATTTCACACAACATCCCCGTGCAATCATCCAACAACCCTCGCCACCGCTGCCTCCACACCACTTCAGGACTACGAGCGGCCACGTGCGTGACCACGACCGCCACCACCGTCACCGTCACCACCGCCACCGCCACCGCCACAGCGACCGCCACAGCCACCGCCACCGCCACCGCCACCGCCTGCCCGGCCAAGTGCATGAATCGTGTGCCGGTACCCGGGGAGAGGTCTCGGAAGTTGGTGCCGTCGTGCTTGCGGATCGAGTCGAAGACCACGGTGCGGGCCGGCATGTTCACGCCCATCGCAAACGTCTCCGTGGCGAACAGCACCTGCGCGGCAAACCACACAAGCGCCCGCCCCGTCGTCATATCACATCGCCCTCCCATCATATCACATCGCCCGCCCCGTCGTCATCTCACATCGCCCTCCCATCATATCACATCGCCCACACCATCGTCATATCACATCGCCCTCCCATCATCTCACATCGCCTGCCCCATCATATCACATCGCCCTCCCATCATCTCACATCGCCTGCCCCATCATATCACATCGCCCACACCATCGTCATATCACATCGCCCTCCCATCATATCACATCGCCCACACCATCATCATCTCACATCGCCCTCCCCATCATCTCACATCGCCCACCCCGTCGTCATATCACATCGCCCTCCCCATCATCTCACATCGCCCTCCCATCATCTCACATCGCCCTCCCATCATCTCACATCGCCCTCCCATCATCTCACATCGCCCACACCATCGTCATATCACATCGCCCACCCCATCATATCACATCGCCCACCCCGTCCTCATATCACATCGCCCTCCCATCATCTCACATCGCCCTCCCCATCATCTCACATCGCCCACCCCGTCGTCATATCACATCGCCCTCCCATCATCTCACATCGCCCGCCCCGTCATCTCACATCGCCCTCCCATCATATCACATCGCCCACACCATCGTCATATCACATCGCCCTCCCATCATCTCACATCGCCTGCCCCATCATATCACATCGCCCTCCCATCATCTCACATCGCCTGCCCCATCATATCACATCGCCCTCCCATCATCTCACATCGCCTGCCCCATCATATCACATCGCCCTCCCATCATCTCACATCGCCCTCCCATCATCTCACATCGCCTGCCCCATCATATCACATCGCTCTCCCATCATCTCACATCGCCCTCCCCATTATCTCACATCGCCTCCCCGTCGTCATCTCACATCGCCCTCCCCATCATCTCACATCGCCCTCCCATCATCTCACATCGCCTGCCCCATCATATCACATCGCCCTCCCATCATCTCACATCGCCCTCCCCATCATCTCACATCGCCTCCCCGTCGTCATATCACATCGCCCTCCCATCATATCACATCGCCCTCCCATCATCTCACATCGCCTCCCCGTCGTCATCTCACATCGCCCTCCCCATCATCTCACATCGCCTGCCCCATCATCTCACATCGCCCTCCCATCATCTCACATTGCCCTCCCATCATCTCACATCACCCTCCCCATCGTCTCACATCACCCGCCCTAATAAAAGGGTTTTTCCCCTTTTTTCTGGCAACAAAACTGAAACCTTTTTACAAGGATTCATGTCTGCATTAACCACAATACCTGCAGTGAAATGCAAACAAAAAACACACACCGATAATATATAATGCATTGTCCTTGAAACTGATTGGTCCACACCAAGGGACGGCTTTCTATTGAGCCTCGACCCAATTGGTGCTTGACCAGAGGACGCCAAAAGGCGTCCACAGCTCAAAGACAATGCACTATCAAAGTAATGAGGGCTCGGGGTGATCATCTACATCATTGGACCTCCTTTGCCAGTACCAAAGTACAATAATAAGGTTTATCCCCTTTTTTCTCGCAACAAAACTGAAACCGCCCTCCCGTCATCTCACATCGCCCGCCCCGTCGTCACGGCACCTTGACGAGTCCCCGCGAGAACAGCATCTCCACCACCTCCTTGAGGATGGGCAGGATGCCGCTGTGATGCACTCCGACGCCTCTCTTCAGCAGCATCTCCATCTGCAGCACCTGCAAGCGCGGTGGTGGTGGGGGGGGGGGGGTGGGAGGGGGGTTGCACCACATTACTCGCTGGGGGACTCGCCGTCTGGAACGTCGTCATCGTCATCGTCGTCATTGTTTTTGTCGTCGTCCCTATGTTGCTGCTGCTGCTGCTGCACGGTCGCTCTGCAGCAGCAGTTCCACTCCCCCCACCTGCGGCAGGCTGCGGTCGGTGCCCTTGAGGCGGGAGATGCACTTGCGGAAGAAGACGTGGATCTCGCTCTGCTCGGCGGCGGTGGTGAGCGCCAGCGTGGTGAGGCCCGACGCCGTCTCGTCGCAGCGGTTGCGCGAGAACGTGAACGCCACCACGGGCAGCTGGTCCCGCCGCCGCAGGCTGTCCAGCAGCGACAGCCACACGCCCTTGTCCTGCGGGAACAGCGCGCAGGCGGAGGTGGCGGCCGGTGCAGTGGTGGTGGTGACCTTCATAGGTGCGACTCGCTAACAGCACTTGCCCCAACAGTCTGTGGAGGCTATACGGGGCATCTTTGTCTGTCTCTTTGTGGTGGTGGTGATGGAGACAGTGGTGGCAGCGGTGATGGTGGTAGTGGAGGTGGTGGTAGCAGAGACAGTGGTGGTGGTGGTAGAGGTGGTCGTGGTAGAGGTGGTAGAGGTGGTGGTGGAGGTGGTGGTGGTGGTGGTAGAGATGGTAGTGGTGGTGGTGGTAGAGGTGGTCGTGGTAGAAACGGTGGTGGTAGAGGTGGTGGTGGTGGTAGAGGTGGTGGTAGAGGTGGTCGTGGTAGAGACGGTGGTGGTAGAGGTGGTGGTGGTAGAGCGGGTGGTGGTGGTGGTGGAAGAGGTGGTGGTAGCAGAGACGGTGGTGGTGGTGGTGGTGCTAGTGTGATGAAACTGGTGAAGCCAGAGGAAACCCATGCAAGAAGAGGGGGCATCATATACAAACTCCCACACAGCAAAAGGTGATCGGGGCTGGAATCGAACCCAGGTGATTCTCGCTGCTGTGAGGCACAGCCATTAGTTACCACTGCGACATGAACTCTAAATTCAACGGAGCCGGCCTCGAATCGCCGTCATCATCACCATAATCGTCACCATCATCACAATCGACATCAACATCGTCGTTGTCATCACAATCATCATCGCCATCGGCGTCATCATCGCCATCATCAAAATCACCGTCATCATCACAATCTTTATCACCATCGTCGTCATCATCACAATCATCATCGCCATCGTCATCATAATCATCATCACCATAATCGTCATCATCGTCATCACGATCAACACAATCGACATCACCATCGTCGTCGTCGTCACAATCATCACAATTATCATCGCCATCATAATCATCATCACCATAATCGTCATCATCATAATCACTGTCATCATCACAATCTTTATCACCATCGTCGTCATCATCACAATCATCACAATTATCATCGCCATCATCATCATAATCATCATCACCATAATCGTCATCATCGTCATCACCATCATCACAATCACCATCACCATCGCCGTCATCGTCATCATCACAATCATCATCGCCATTGGCATCATCACAGCCATCATCATCACCATCATCATCACAATCATCATCGCCACTATCGTCATCACAGCCATCATCATCATCATCACAATCATCATCGCCATTGGCGTCATCACAGCCATCATCATCACCATCATCATCACAATCATCATCACCACTATCGTCATCATCGCCATCACAACCACCGCCGCCACGGCCGTCCGCGCACCTGCTTGGGCCCGCCGCCTTGCACGGGCTGCTTGGCCCCGAAGCTCTGCGCGTGCTTGCTCGTGCGCTCGCGCTTCGCCTCGACGGCGTCCGCGTGTGCCCGCGTCGCGAACGTCCCCGCCGAGTTGAGCAGCAGGAAGAGCTCCCCCTGCGTCTTCTGGCTGTTGCCCGTGTACAGGAAGTGCTCCAGGGGCACCGGCCGCTTGGCCGTGCTCACCACGTAAACCTTCTTGCGCTTGGTGCGGCTGCGCGGTAGAGGCAGCGATTGCAGCAGAGACGGCGGAGACAGCGGCGGTGGCGGAGATGGTGATGGCAGAAGGCAGAAGTGGCAAAGGCAGCAGAGATGGCGGAGACAGTGGCGGTGGCGGAGATGGCGGTGGCAGAGGCAGCGATGGCAGCAGAGACGGCGGAGACGGCGGTGGTGGCAGAGGCAGCGATAGCAGCAGAGACGGCGGAGACAGCGGCGGTGGCGGAGATGGCGGTGGCAGAGGCAGCGAAGGCAGCAGAGACGGCGGAGACAGCGGCGGTGGCGGTGACAGAGGCAGCGATAGCAGCAGAGACGGCGGAGACGGCGGCGGTGGCGGAGATGGCGGTGGCAGAGGCAGCGAAGGCAGCAGAGACGGCGGAGACAGCGGCGGTGGCGGTGACAGAGGCAGCGATAGCAGCAGAGACGGCGGAGACGGCGGCGGTGGCGGAGATGGCGGTGGCAGAGGCAGCGAAGGCAGCAGAGACGGCGGAGACAGCGGCGGTGGCAGAGGCAGCGATAGCAGCAGAGACGGCGGAGACAGCGGCGGTGGCGGAGATGGAGGTGGCAGAGGCAGCGAAGGCAGCAGAGACGGCGAAGATGGCGGCGGTGGCGGTGGTGGAGATGGCGGTGGCAGAAGCAGCGATGGCACAGCAGTGGCAGAGCGGTGGGAGAGAGAGCGGTGGCACAGCGAAGGCAGTGACAGTATCAGTCTTAATTCTAGATTTGAAGCTTTCGTGACTGCAAGGAATTTATACTCTTAGCTTTTTCGGTAAAGTCACGTAGGTAAAAAATTTAAATTTAAATTAATAAAAATCTGGCTGTGACGGTCCCACCTGATGACGGAGACTTGTGTTGCCTCCGAAACGTCGTGATTTTTTATTATTTTATTTCTATTATTACTTTTATTAATTTTTATTTCATTTTTTACCTACGTGACTTTACCGAAAAAGCTAAGAGTATCAGTCTTAAGCCAATGGGGGGGGGGGGGTGGGGGGTGGGAGGAAAGCAGCGATGATTGCTGCCACAGAGAAGGCCGACCGATTCGGATTGCGAGCCTCAAGTCACTCCTCACCCGATCCAATCGGCAAACTCCAGCGTGTTGGGGACGGTGGCGCTCAGCAGGATGAGGTTGACATGTTCCGGCAGCATGATGAGCACTTCCTCCCACACCACGCCTCTCTGCGCACATCGTTAACGCCGCCGTCGTTAACGTCGACGTTAACGTCATCAAGGTCGTCGTCAACATCGTCGTTAACGTCGTCGTTAACGTTGACATCATCAACGTCGTCAACCGGAGGCATTGTAATGTCGCTCCACATCGTCATCGCCATTGTCATCGCAATCATCACCATCTTCATCACTATCATCACCGTCATCATCATCACCATCATCATCGTCATCACCGCCATCACCACCGTCATCACCGCCATCACCATCATCACCGCCATCACCGCCATCACCACCGTCATCACCACCGTCATCACCACCATCACCACCGCCGTCACCACCGTCACCACCGTCACCACCGTCATCACCGTCATCACCGTCATCACCGTCATCATCACCGTCGTCATCAACACCGTTATCACCATCGTCACCACCATCACCGCCGTCATCACCATCATCATCATCACCATCATCACCACCATCACTGCCATCATCACCATCATCACCACCATCACTGCCATCATCACCATCATCACCACCATCACTGCCATCATCACCATCATCACCATCGTTATAATCCATCAGCCACTCACCTCAGCGTCGTTAACGTAGTGAACCTCATCAAAGATCACCCACTCCAGGTCGCGGATCACGTCCGAGCCATTGTACAGCATGGAGCTGTAACGGCAACAGCAGCAGCAGCAGCAGCAATTGAGAACAGCAACAGAAGCAGCAGCAGCAACAGTAAAGAGAAGCAACTGTAGCGAACGTAGCAGCAACAGCAGTTGCAGCTGGCACCGGCAAAACTTTCAAGCAAATTTTTTTTATCTTTATTATTAAGAACAGGGCTGTCGGAAAGACAGCGTCCGAATGACAGCCCTGTTCTTCACCTGAGGACGGCTGCTTGCGTTGTGGCCGAAACGTCGTGAGAATTATTTTATTATGTTTAATTTTTATTATTTTATTATTTCCCTTCTACGTGACTTTAAGAACCAAGAAGATGAATCCCTGCAGTCACGAAAGCTTTAAATCTGTGTAGCTCTCTTTCATGAGTGACCTGGCCACAGATGGAAGCTCAAACGAGTGGATTATCGCGTGGAAATTCATAGCAGCCAAATGCTCGAAACGCGTGATGTTGATTCTAAATGTTGGGTGTAAAACCGAAAAGAAAAAGATGAGCAAACTCCAAATATACAGACGTCAGGGTCGGGATCGAACCCACGATTTCCTGTATACCAGGTGAGGTAGGTAACATCTCGCCGCTTGTGACAACAGATGGCACAAGTGATCTGATGAGATTCCGAAATCCATCCTCTTATCCGCACCCTCCTTCGCGGAGCAGAGGAGTAAAAAATGACAAGTGGTGGCAAAGTCAAATTCACCCTGTAATGCGCGTTTTATCTTCCTATATCCAGGAGCCATCTTCCCGGATAATAGGATCCGCAAACCGTGCCCCACGGCCTTCCCACATGAATATGGCTAAAAGGGAGCTTTCCTGCAATCTCAATGTGAGTGTTCGAGTGAGCGAGCAAGCAAGTGGGCGAGCGTGCATGCGAGCATGTGAGCAAATGAGTCGGTGAGCGCATGAAAGGGCGAGCGGGTGGGAGAATGAACGATGGAGTGAGCGAGCGTGCGACCACGTGAGCTAATGAGTCGGTGTGCGAATCAAAGAGTCAACGGATGCAGCGAGCGAACGGATGAGCGTGCGAAAATGTGAGCGAATGAGTCAGTGACTGAATGAAAGGGCAAGCGAGTGAACGACGGAGCGGCGGGCGAGCGAGCGAATCGTCTCGTGAGTAACCGCACGAGCGAGTGAGCGAGCGATTCGCGCGGGCAGGCGGGCGGGCGGTCGAGGGGGTCGCACCGCAGGATCTCGGTGGTCATGATGAGGCAGGAGGCCTCGGGGTGCAGCTGCACGTCTCCCGTGAGGAGCCCCACGTCCTTGAACGTCGCCTTGAAGTCGCGGAACTTCTGGTTGGACAGCGCCTTGATTGGCGACGTGTAGATGGTCCTGCGACACCAAGGGACGGACGGGGACAGAAAACACGCGTGACGTGGACACCAGCGAGCGCTTTTCCGGGGCCTATTCGGAATCAGTTTCTTTACCAATCCTGGAAGAATGCAATGAGCTACAAAGCTATTTTTCACATTGTCTCGTAGGGGCACCGGGGGTTGTATGTACGGATGTATAATGAACTTCTTCCGCACCGTACGTAGCCAACTATGCGAATCGGAGGCGCGGGGTTAGTCAATTACATCAACAAACAAACCCAACGACGCTTGAGTGCAAGATAGAGAAAAAGTCGTTCTTCAATGCACGTGGATCACAAGGCACACACAGCACAAAAAACAAAGATCCCCTGTATAGCCTGAACAGACTTTTGGGGCAAGTGCTGTTAGCGAGCACCTATGAAGGCCGGCACGGCACACGAGGGGGTGGGTGGCCAGCACCACGCCTGGCCGCCATTGTCTCCCCAGTAGCGGTGTTAACACACTGCACAAGGTACTCATTTGAGGCTGAGACAACCCAAAGGAGGCCCAGAAACGGCTCAGATAATCTTCACTGGTGTTGTTCTTGAGCGAGAATTGTACCCGGGTCGCCGGATTCGTAGTGCAGCTCGCTAACCGCTACACTACCGCTCCCCAGACATAGCACACACACTCACCCACACACCCACTCGCACACCCAAACACACTCACCCACTTCACACACTCACCCATTCACACACTCGTCCGCTCACCCGCTCTCCACCAACTTCACACATTCATCCGCTCGCACACACTTACCCACTCAACACTCTCTGCAGAACAGGGCGGGGAGAGAGGGGGGAGCACAGACAAACAGACAAAATTCTGCACAGCTCATCGCCCGGATCGGGAATCGAACCCAGGGGTCCCTTGTTGTTTCCCGCATGGAGCGGGTGCTGCTCCAGCAATGAGAAATGATAGGAGTTGTTGCCAGATAAAAGGGTAAAAAACCGATTGTCATATTTGTTACTGGCAAATGAGGTCCCAATGGTGTAAATGCTTACCCGGAGCTCTCATACTCTGATGGTGCATTGTCTTTGAGTTGTGCGCCTTTTGGCGTCATCTGGTCCAACCCATGTGAGACTAGGCTCTAAGGAAAGCTGTCTCGGGTGTGGAACAATCAACTTCAAGGACAGTGCATACATTATCAGAGTTATGTTTTTTGTTTGCATTATGACTGTAGGTATTGTGGTCTATGCAAACATGACTCTTTGTAAAAAAAAAGTGTCAGTTTTGTTGCCAGATAGAAGGGTAAAAAACCAATTATAAAGTAAGGGCTTGTTCCTTGCTTTTTATTCGACGCGTGTGCAGCGATGGCACAGCCATCGATCGAGGGTCGAATTCGAACCGCGTTGTGTGATCGGCATCGCGCTCGCTGAAGGTGTTGATGCCTTCAGGGAAGTCGTGTCCTGTGTACGCAACTGCGCACAATTCTGCGAGTCACTTATGACTGCTTTGCCGTTACTTATTGCCAATTATGGACTCAGACTATTGTCCTATCATCTCATCGAGTCCCTGGCACGTAATAATATGCTACACAGTGGCAGTGAGGCTCGCAAAATGCCAATTTATTACTAATAAACCGGATTTCGATCGGATCATTGGGGGGGGCACGTGCCACCCCACCTCCCCCCCCCCCCACTGGCTCCACCAGTGCTGCTACCACTACGGCGCCGCCAGCGCCGCCGCCGCCCGTACCGCGTCATGTTGCGCTGCGACAGCGCGATGGCGTACTCGGCCACCACCGTCTTGCCGGCCGACGTGTGCGCCGCTACGAACACCGACTCGTGGTTCTCCAGCCGCAGGATCGCCTGCTTCTGAAACGTGTCCAGCTCAAAGGGCCACTGACGGGGGGAGGGAGTGGAGGGATCAGAGGAAGTAGAGGGAGTGGAGGGAGTGGAGTGAGAGAGTGGAGGGAGTGGAGGGTGGTAGTGGAGGGAGTGGAGGGTGGGAGGAAGGGAGTGGAAGGGAGTGGAGGGAGTGGAGGGAGTGGAGGGATCAGAGGGAGTAGAGGGAGTGAGTAGATGGAGAGAGTGGAGGGAGGGAGTGGAGGGAGTAGAGAGAGGGAGTGGAGGGAGTGGAGGGAGTAGAGAGAGGGAGTGGAGGGAGTGGAGGGAGTGGTGGGAGTAGAGAGAGGGAGTAGAGGGAGTGGAGGGAGTAGAGAGAGGGAGTGGAGGGAGTGGAGGGAGGGGAGGCAGGGAGTGGAGGGAGGTAGTGGTGGGAGGGAGGGTGGGAGAGAGAGAGGGTGGGAGGTGAGGGAGCGGGAGGGAGTGGAGGAAGGGGCCACAGTCGCTTTGTTAGTGTTGCTGCCCCCTTGTGGTCTCTTGCTCAATCATGCACATGGCGTATGCAAATGCACTCCACACATTGATTTACCTTCAGACTTGCGTCTATCGCCCTGGCTAGTGCTCGAGCTCGCGTTAGCGTTGTCGTGAGACGAACGGTAGACAAACAGTGCCTGCCCGCCTCTCACCTGAACGCCGGGTTTGGGCACCCGCTTGTGGAAGTCGGGCACGGGCTGTGCTCACGTCCAAGGGGATGGCCCAGCGCTCCTCCTCTTCCTTCCCCCCCCCTGCCACCACCAGGGGTGAGGGTGGTACAGCCCCCACGGCCCCGGCTTTCCCTCAGGCACGGACTCCTTTAAAGACAGAAGCCAACAGGGGAAGAAGAAGAATCGTGCACATGCGTGGTTTGCCGTGGTGGCTTATTCGTCATAAAGGGACCGCCACGGTGGCTACCTCGCCTCACGTGCCAGAGGGTCGTGGGTTCGATCCCGATCCTGACGCCTGCTGCTGTATATTTGGAGTTTGCGTGTCTCTCTCACTCTCATCATCATCACGGTGGCTAGGAGATGTTGACTACCTTGCTTGGTCTACAGGAGGTCGTGGGTTCGATCCCGACCACTTAAGTGGCGGGTGACGTCACCACGGCGCTTGTGCCAGGCTATGTGCACTTTGCCACGTCAAGTGTCGAACGCCCGCAGTCAAGAGGTCACGGGACAGACCGAGTTACCATGGGTTGACCGACTGAGATGACTGGCCGATGCACCACCACCCGTGCTCCCCCGCTGAGACAACTCTCCGCCCGGCGCTCCCCTCTATGTTGTGAGCGTCGCTTCTCCGCCCTCCGTTGTTGCTGGAGGGCGACTGCCTCCAACTGCCCAGCAGCGTCCCTTCACGAGCCTCCTCCTCCACAGAGGCCGATCTTAACACCGCCACCGCTGGTACGCGGTCATTGGCAGTCCACTCAGCTCCACTTCCTCTTGTACCACACCACTCCATCTCTTCTCTAGCCCGTGCCTACGCCCGTCTAGCTCCCACTATCCGGTCGAACAAAAACTTTTGCTTGACACAAACACGCCCACAAGCAGTTGTGTCTCTGTGCATCGTGGCACTCAAACCGCACCTGAACTCCTAGGCCTCGAGAGCTGTTGGAGCGCTTGAAGGCCGGCTTGGACGACTGCGGCGTCCGCTGCTGTCGTTTCTCTCTCCCCACCCGGGGTTGGCGCTCTCTCCTCTTGCTGGCCGCGCCGCCCTCGTCGGGTCCCTACGTTCCTCCTGCTTCTTCTTGGTCGACGCGTTTTCTTCCTCCTCCTCCTTGTCGTCGTCGTCGTCGTCGCTGGGGCCTCCCAGGTCGAACTCGTCGATGCCCTGCTGGATGGCGGCGAGGCTCACGATGCCGCGCGGGACGGGGCGATCTGAAAGCGTCGTCGGCAAGGTCGTCGAGAAGGTCACTCGAAAAGGTCATCGACAAGGTCATCGAAAGGTCATCGACAAGGTCATCGACAAGGTCATCGACAAGGTCATTGACGACATCGTCAGTTACATCAGCCACATTGGCGGTGGAGAGCACCATCGTCACCACCACAAAGCGACGTCGTAAATTCCACTGTAATATCGAAACCATGGAAATTACCGTCATCACCAAAGATCCCTCGTGTAGCCTTAACAGACCGTTGGGGCAAGTGCTGTTAGTAAGCAGCACGATGATATGGCCGGTACGGAACACGTACACGAGAGGGCGGGTGGCCAGCCACCCCAGTGGCGTTGTTACACAGTACTCCAGCTACACCTTTGAGGCCGAGCGACCTAGGGGAGGCCCAAGTCCGTTTCGGATAATCGTCACCGGTGTGTGGTGGCAGCGAGCGGCAATCGAACTCGAGTCGCCGGGTTTGTAGTGCAGCGTCATCACCAACTTCGTAAACATCGACAAAGCATCATCATTGTCATCACCACCAACACCATCGACACTAACCGATAATCACAACTGATGAGTGCGGGGGGTGGCGGTGTGGCCTAGCGGCAGCCAGCCTGCCGCTTGTCGCACAGGTTCACCGTTTCAATCTGGTCAAACAATATAAAGCTTGCAACTCAATGGCATCACCTGGTTTGTTGAACTCCATGCCTCTCTTCATCCCGGGTGGCACCTGTGAGGAGGTCTGCGAGCACAACATTGCACGGGGTCAAGAGGTCGATCGCTTGCCTCTTCTGCAAGATCACGTGCGTTCGTGAAGTCAGCATCCCGGATTTCAAGGGCCGCTCTTACAGCCTCCATCGCCGCTCCCGTCCGGCTTCCCTCTGTTTCACAGCTCTACCACTTTCACGGTCGCCGTGGTGACAAGATGTTAATTACCTCCTGGTACACAGGAGGTCGTGGGTTCATCCCGACCCTGACGCCTGCTGCATATTTGGAGTTTGCGTGTCTCTCTCTTATCATCACGGTGGCTAGGAGATGTTAACTACCTCGCCTGGTATGCAGGAGGTTGTGGGTTCGATCCCAACCCTAACGCCTGTGCTGCTGTATATTTGGAGTTTGCGTGTCTCTCTCTCTCATCATCATCACGGTGGCTAGGAGATGTTGACTACCTCGCCTGGTATGCAGGAGGTCGTGGGTTTGATCTCGACCCTGACGCCTGCTGCTGTATATTTGGAGTTGGCATGTCTGTCTCACCGTGGTGGCGTAGATTTTCTCCCGGTCCTCCGGTTTTTCCCTCCACGTTTAGAACCAACGTGCAGTTTTAGTATTTGGCTGTCAGAATTTCCACTTGATGAGACACTTCTTTGGGCTATCCTTTCTGGGTCCCTTCTGAAAGAGAGCTATAAAGCTCAGTGGGTCTTACCTGGTAAAATAAAAATAGCTTACAGTATAGCTTTAAAATGAAAAAAAATTT